GTGTCTGTCTCTTTTTGGAATTCGCAAGGCAGGTCACCTTGCGAATTCAAAATTGTCCAAATTGTCCAATCAGATGCCGTGAAATCACGAAATTCGCTGCGTAGATTCATCACACCCTGTTGCGATACATTCTACTCCTGTGATGGCGGTTGATGCAAGGAGCATTGAGATAATTATGTAGACTGTGTATGAGAGCAAGATCATGTGATGTGGTAGTGGCAGTCGCAGTGCGTCGGCGGACGATCGTCGTCGGTCGTGGTCCCCGGACTCGGTCAATTCGAACAGGTGTAGACTTCAGTAACATACCACCTGCCTGTTAAACCAATGAATGTGGTCATCCCTCATTCCACCATCAGTCCGTGTCGGTGCCGTACACCTCCCTACTGGAGTAGTCACGTGGTTGCGCGGGCGGGTGGCGCAAGACGTCTTGATGTCACCCATCGCAAGTGCTGAAGCCGCCACTTCAGCACTTGTGATGGGTTCCTACTGTACCACGACGTCTTGCGCCATCGCATTGGCCCACCAGAGCCGTCACGGCATTGCGACCCAACCGAGGCCTCAACATAATGTTAGCTGTAAGGGAAGAACCACATTGGATATAGTCGGAGTGAACTCATCAGTGCACAATTCTCTCGAGCAGCATCACACAAAGCTCTACAAAATTCAAACAGTTCAAAATTGTAACCTCTCTGCCAGTATTATAGCCAATCGTGTGTAAGAAGCAAGGTGTGATGGACTCTAATTGGATATTAAAAAGGAGCAAGGGCTCACCTTGTGAATTCCATTAACAAGTCAACTAATCGAGCAAAGGAGTGTGATTGGCTAAAACAATGAAGGTTGAATTTTGATTGGTTAAAAAAGTTTGGTAATGCATTGCAGTCACAAAGATACCTCTTCAACTTAGTTATATATGAAATTTCGGAAGGTCCGGCGATTGTTTGGCGGTTCATTCAAACAAATGCCAGCCAGAGGAAATTTTGAGTAGAACACAATAGTAACGTAGAATGCCAATTGTTGCAATACAACTTTTTTGGTTTTTCGGAGAATGGTCATAATTCTTGATTGAAGCATAATCGTTTTTGAATCCCGACGTGCCCTAAATTGTAGACAATTTTCGGGGAATTCCACCAATTATCAACGCGCAATGTATTTCCCAAAATTGAGCTGCATACAGCTCTTCATATATACAATACGTCAACAATTGGTGTGCCAATTGTTGACGTAATGTTTTAACCTTTGGTGTTGTATGGCTACTAGTATACATATTCAGAGGGTTTTTTCTGTGATTGGCGCTTTTCTAATTTAGGGATCAGCGATTGGCTTAGTTTTATACGTCATTAATTGGCACATACGCGTTTGCATCTACCATTAGCTGTGGACGTAATCATTCGAAGTTTGCATTTGTACTGAGATTAAGAATAGAGATCCGTTTTGTACTTACCCAACGAATATACTCCAAGTTCAGTCGTGATCCAGCAGTGATGATAACGTACATATCACTAACATACAAGAGATACATATGACGATGAATAGACGTGCTAGACACAACTCTTCGCATGAACGTGAACGTTTTACTATTAATAGTACGTACGTATACTAGTATGCATGTACTCAATAGTGAAAGGGGAGAGGGTTCTGACTCGACCCTAAGTTATGTTCGCTTCCTGATAACGATGCCAAGGACATGAGGAAACCTGGGACACACCCAGTGACGGCCATGAGTGTGTTCTTTTCCGACTTAGATCAGGTGTACAGTGATCTGTAAGTCGACGCGCTCCCAATTGACAGCCGAAAGAACTGGACATGAGATTATATACCTGATTACAAGTATGTAAGCTCGCTTTCGATCAGGGGGAAGTGCAACTGGATGTCCCACAGTCACACACACAAGTTCAGAATCTCTGGATTTCCTGGTCGCGACGACGGACGCGGCGATGGATGAGCGAGCGAGCATGAAGACGACGTTGGAAGTATGTAGCAGTTCCTTCACCTGACTCGAGTGATAGTTGTGCACTGTTTGGGCACATGACCCTGTCGACAACAACTCGTACCACGACATTCATGTGTAATATGAAATACCTGTGCAAATCAATACAAACCCCTATATTCGTAGCTCCAACTACAATTAAGAAGACTTGTGACATTCAACGTTCCTCGACTGTGAACAAAACGTCGCAGCTGCTTCTGCATCATTCCCATCATCGCACACGCGTTGACAATGTCGCAGGCATATACATACATACAACGAGCAACTGTTTGAATACGGCAGTTTCGCACATTGTGTCCATAGTTGTAGAAGGGGTGCCAAATAGCTAGGTCCTCGGAAACTTTATATTTTATTTTATTTCGATCCAACTGTACCTTCCACCGTGCATTTTTTTTTGGACAGGCCACAGATTTATATAATTTGGAAAAGAAACCAACTCCAGATTGAGCTCAGCAGCGTTACACTTGAAGAGGACCAAACTCCGTCGGCACAACTGATGGATCTTGCCATGGACGGAGCCATGACGCAACCGCCATCGACACATCTGCGCCGCTTCTTGCAAGGAGGGTCGTCCTTCGATGGAAGTACGTGTGCCTGTCTCTCTATCACGTCATGAGATCATGTGTTGTGCAGGCCTCGCGGTGTACATTTACATCTTTATCGGGGCGATGGTGTTTGTGGGTATGCTAAGTCTCCTTGCGTACTGCTACCACCAGCGCCGTATCGCGCGGTACTTGGAGACGGACAACATGAACAACAACATGCAGCGCCATTCTCTCATCGACAGGTAGACCAACGCGGCGTCTATCCCACATGCATGTGGTATTTAACACGTCATCCGTAGCTTCCTCGAAGCCGGCGAATCGGAGTGGCAGTGTTCGGTCTGCTATCATGAAAACCACCCGGCGAAGCGCGAATGCCTTCTCTGCGGCACACCTCAAAGTACGCGCGTCGATTCGATTATTCCATGTATGTCATCTTGTCGTGTTGTCTAGTCGTGTTGGAGCAGGCGGCGGTGGGCACGCCGCGGTATCACTTTGGGGACCACGACACACCGTTGGACCCGCTCCAAGCCGCTCGGCAGCGGTCATTCCACGTGCGTCGACTGAACGAGATGCAGGAGAACATGCACTTGAACCAGCGGCAGCGCGGCGCCCGTCGACGGAACCTGTGGAAGCGCGAGAAAGGCGACGACGGGCAAATGCGATGGGTAAACCAACCAACCCCCCTCCATCTATATGATGAATATCGCCGTAGGTTCGCATCGAAGACTGCAAGCCCCGCGTAAGCATCCTCACGAGCGCGAATCCGCCGCCGCCCGAGGAGTACCTCTTTGACATGCACGCCCGCACATCGTTCTCGTCGCACACAGAGTCCACCGTCGAGACCGAGCTCATGCTCACGCCGTCCGCGGCGGCGTCGGCCCGCCAACTCCTCCGTGGAAGTACGCGCAAAACGGCCAAGATCACCAAACGCACGGACACGTCGGAAACGCTCATGGCTCAAGACTCTGTCGGGTACGGTGTTCATGGAGTTGTTTTTCATATCGTTCTTTTATACGAATGATGGTCATATACGAATGATGGTCATAAACATCCCAATTGTGTGTTCTTCAACGAGATTTTGGAAGAAGTGACTGTTGATATCGCAGTGGATTTGTTCGTTAAATTCATGGTGTGAATATGTTCTTATAATCCGAAATATGGGCTTTGGACTCTCTCGGCGACGTTCTTTTAATCGACTGGACGTTCTTTTAATATCTCGGAGGCGTTCTTTTACTCTGCTAGGCGTTCTTTTAATATCTCGGAAGTGTTCTTTTACTCGACTGGGTGTTCTTTTAATATATCAGAGGCGTTCTTTTACTCTGCTGGATGTAGTTTAAATATCTCGGAGGCGTTCTTTTTTGTAATGTACCGAGTAGGTTTGTACGCAACACGGACGACTTGGGCCTTGTGTCGTGGGTCCCCGCCGACACGATTCGCATGTCGGAGGCCCTGGTACGTCAAATATATATATTTCTCGCTCTTGATCGAAATCCAAAGTATTAATAATATATTTATATATATATATATATTTACAGATAATCGACACGGAAGAGTTTCCTCGGGCGTCGTCTGTCATCGACTTTGAAAGTGTCGCGGCGCTGCCGTTTCGTCACAAGGTGCGCTGGTTCTTGCAAGAGCTGGACAAGGTGGCGGTGCCGTGGGAGGAGGGCCATCTTCTCTTAAGTACGTACTCGTAAAAATATATATATATTGAAATATTCTTTTAAAAATATAGAAATCCGACGCGATGCCGTGTTGGAAGAATCGATGCATTTGCTCATGTTGATTCCCGCGGCGGACATTCGACAGCGCCTTCGCATTGAGTTTATCGACGAGCCAGGTCCGTCTATATATTTTAGAAATATAGAATTTTAGAAATATATATTACTATTTATTCAATATATGATGATATAAATTCTCGATATTTGTAGGCTTGGATGCTGGGGGATTGCTGCGGGAATGGGTCCTCTTGCTCTGCGAACGGTTGTTTGACGGGTCGTACGGGTTGTTTCAGTCGAGTCATGTGGAAAATTTCGGGTAAATCGAATATTTATTGATTCGTAAGAATATATATTTATATATATATATTGACCTAGGTACTGGATCAACACCAACTCGGCGCAATTGAAACCAGATCACTTGAAGTGCTTTGAGTTTATTGGGCGGCTGATTGCCAAGTGCCTTCTCGAAGGCCAGCTGCTCACTGTGCATTTCTCACTGCCTCTGCTCAAGCACATCTTGGGCGTGCCCATTTCATTTAGCGACTTGGAGTTTTTAGGTACTACTATTATCCTATTTCATCGTACCACGTCGGTTAACTTTATATTCCTATTAATATTATTCAAATAATAATATCATCGTGTCGACGACAAATGGGGCAAATAAAAGGCCCCGTATGTATCCATGTTCTTGTGCGTCGTGTTTTCATAAAAAATACGTGTTTTATTATTATAATTATGAATATTATGATGATGAAAATATAATATTTTTGTTTATATTGTCCAATGCCGTGGTATCCATGTTCTTGTGCGTCGTGTTTTCATAAAAAATACGTGTTTTATTATTATTATTCATATTATGATTATGAAAATATAATATTTTTGTTTGATCGTGTTTATATTGTCCAATGTCGTGGTATCCATGCCTATTGTGCTTTCGAGTGAAATTTCATTGTGTGGTGGGTTCTCGTTGGAATTTAAATCGATTGGATTGGCTACGTCAGATGCGCTCAAAATTATTAGCCAATCAAAACCTACTCCATGAAATTCAACACCCAATCAGATCGATTGTGGTTCGGTTTGCGCGATTATTCGTCGATTGCACCAAATTTGTATATCAAATCGACAATAATAATATATTATTAATATTATGCACATAGTCGTCATTTTGATATTTTTTCCATGTCGTTGTGTAGACGAAGACTTGTGCAAAAATGCCAACTGGTTGCGCGACCACTCGGACGTGGACACCTTGAGTTTGGATTTTACAGTTCAGTCATTTGATGCAAATGGCAAGGCTCTGCCGCCCATCGAGTTGGTTCCTGGCGGCGGCGGCATCGCCGTCACGGACGCCAACAAGGACGAGTATTTGGTCGCCCTGCTCAAGTACCACATGTTTGATTCGACGACAAATGGGGCAAATAAAAGGCCCCGTATGTATCCATGTTCTTGTGCGTCGTGTTTTCATAAAAAATACGTGTTTTATTATTATAATTATGAATATTATGATGATGAAAATATAATATTTTTGTTTATATTGTCCAATGCCGTGGTATCCATGTTCTTGTGCGTCGTGTTTTCATAAAAAATACGTGTTTTATTATTATTATTCATATTATGATTATGAAAATATAATATTTTTGTTTGATCGTGTTTATATTGTCCAATGTCGTGGTATCCATGCCTATTGTCCTTTCGAGTGAAATTTCATTGTGTGGTGGGTTCTCGTTGGAATTTAAATCGATTGGATTGGCTACGTCAGATGCGCTCAAAATTATTAGCCAATCAAAACCTACTCCATGAAATTCAACACCCAATCAGATCGATTGTGGTTCGGTTTGCGCGATTATTCGTCGATTGCACCAAATTTGTATATCAAATCGACAATAATAATATATTATTAATATTATGCACATAGTCGTCATTTTGATATTTTTTCCATGTCGTTGTGTAGACGAAGACTTGTGCAAAAATGCCAACTGGTTGCGCGACCACTCGGACGTGGACACCTTGAGTTTGGATTTTACAGTTCAGTCATTTGATGCAAATGGCAAGGCTCTGCCGCCCATCGAGTTGGTTCCTGGCGGCGGCGGCATCGCCGTCACGGACGCCAACAAGGACGAGTATTTGGTCGCCCTGCTCAAGTACCACATGTTTGATTCTGTCCACGAGCAAGTGGCGGCGCTGCTGAAAGGCATCTTTGATGTGCTCCCGCGGAACCTCCTCGCGGCATTCGACTACCAGGAGCTGGAGCTGCTCATCTGCGGCGTGCCCAAAATCGACGTGGACGACTGGAAGCGGCACACGGACGTCAAGTTCGCGGACTTCGACCACCCGTCGAAAGCCGAGCACAAGGTAATTGACTGGTTTTGGGCGATTGTGGCCGAGTTTTCACAAGATCAGCGCGCGCGGCTGCTCCAGTTTGTCACGGGCACGTCGCGGGTGCCAGTGGAAGGCTTCAAGGTACATATACATTAAAGTAGTTGCTCTAGGACGATGATATCATTATATTGTGTTTGTTTTGCCCAAAAGGTGGTAGACTTTTTTGCCAAATCTATCGATTCTTTGATTAGATCGTCCAGGTTGACACTAATTTCAGTCACATTCACGACGAATTCGATGTTTGGTCGAATGTGAGTGGATGATTTGATTGGTCACTTGATTAGTGTTGTGCGTTTTGATTGGTCGATATATCGATTGACTTCTGCCGATTTGGTGATTCTGCTCATTCGATGAACCACTCCAAATACCAATCGACTTGACATATAATATATATATAATATGTGATATATATATTGATATGTGTCTGTAGGGATTGCTTAGCAACGACGGACGTGTGCGCCGATTCGGCATCCAGATGGTCGGGCGGGGCATCCCCCCCACGGGACTGTACCCGAAAGCCCACACGTGCTTTAACCGCATCGACGTGCCCCTGTACACGTCCAAGGAGGAAGTGGCCACGTACTTGACGCTTGTGATCAATATGGAAATCACAGGATTCACCATGCAATAGAGTGTAGTTAGTCGAGATGGGAACTATTAATAGTGTGATTGTGTATACTACCAGTAAAGAGAGAAATCAACACAATGACGTTCGACTGGTTAACTGGTTGGGTAGTAACAAGTTGCACTGGGCATCTAATCGTTTCGAGCATTAAACGAATATAAAACAACGAAATAGATCGGTATTTTTACCGTAGGTGCACTCGAAATCATATCTCGAACATCAAAGTTTCATAGGTTTCGTCGATATTAATAGAGTGATTTTGCACCCGGAATTTCAACCAATGTAAAATTCCTTCAACCTCATAGTTTTGAGGCCCAAATACGAGAACGTAATGTGTAGAATGTGTTCAAATGATCGCCAAGCGGCGTTGATTGGTCGAGTTATTTCATGGCTGATTGGTTTTAAAATGCAAACAAATGCTAACGAATGTTCGACGCACCCTTGCAATATTCCGGCCAATCGGATCATCAAAATTGAAACATGTCTAAGAGTTTTACTGTTAGTCCTTTGAATATCGGATCATCAAAATTGAAACATGTCTAAGAGTTTTACTGTTAGTCCTTTGAATATCATTTGTCGAAACAAGAACATTATTTCATTCATTGTATCATGGCGTGAATACATATTTTTGAAATAACACTTCCAAACGTTGTTAACGTTGTGCGAAGTTATTCTAGTTTTATCCTGGCTCATCACTAATACATGATGCAAACTCGTTTTACAGCTCCTATTGCAACAAAGATTCAACTTTTGGACGGAGTTGAAGTATGGACGAAACGTTGAAGTACAGGGACAACAAACAGTATACTTTATTCAAGTCAATGCATTGAAGTCGATATTTTCATAACAGTATACTTTATTCAAGCCAATGCATTGAAGTCGATATTTTCATAACAGTACACTTTATTCAAGCCAATACATTGAAGTCGATATTTTTACTTGAACAAAGTATACTGTTGCCCCTATACTTCAACGTTTCGTCCATACTTCAACTCCGTCCAAAAGTTGAAACTGTCGCGCGCAGAACTCATTTTTCGTTTTACGTCAAGGTACGCACCCTGGATGGACGCGCGGAGGCCATGGGCAACATGGGCGTTGGTATGTGAAGACATCCGTGTGCCAAATTAAACAGACACATGGCCAATTATATCAGGCACACCGCCAAATATATCGGGCATACAAATATATCGGGCGTTCGTCCAACTTAGGTGTAGTACGTTGGCGAACACGCGAGTGGAGCTGATCGTTTAGCTCCACTCGCGTGTTCACCTACTACGTCTAGTATCATAGAGATCGCTATAACTTATACATGGCCCATAGGGCTGCTCAAATATAACAAGGTAGCTTTGTTGGCTATATTTGCTTCCAAATGGTATACTCTTGTCAGTAACGGATTGCCGTTCCAATAGCCGCTGAACACATTTAATAACATCCCTAATATCCAAAAGACCACCAGATTTCCAAAATGCTATCATTTATGGAGTAATTCACATAATATTTTGTTAGTATTAGCAATTTACCGGTCAATATTCTTGGAGATACTCTAAAGTCGAAAGATGTCGGGTTATTTCGAATAATGTATCCGAAATATATCTTGTTTTGCATCTATCAACTCTACGACGAATCTTTCATGTTATTTTAGCCGCCCTTGGTCGTTTTCGCAGTTTGAACGGCTTGAAACAATTCCGATTTGGAGTAGAAGTCGATCCACTCGCGTACAATCTTGACGGGCACTCGTTCAATGCTCAGGTACATAATCACAACGTCTGGGTTCGTCTGCAAGTGTGCGGCAAACTAACTTGAGAAACGACTCCATGGACGAAAGCAGCGCCTCGCGCTTGGCCATAAGACTGTCCATCGCCAGTCGGAGCTCCTCGGCGCGCACGTCGGTGGCTTTGAGTCGCTTGCAAGTGTCTTCCCCCATGTCTCCTCCGAAACTTCGTTTCAAAGATAGACACTTTACGCTACTTTCCAGTTGCTCCACAGGTCGCTCGACATATGCTCCTTCGATCGAGAAGCTGCGATCGCCTTCCATGTCGGCGTCGTGGCTCCACAAGGCAGCAACTGCCGCCTCGCCGCCCTCCATCAAAGCGGCCGATTGCCGTGTCCTCGCTTGCTTGAGCCCCGCAATGTACCACTTGGCCATGTTTCCAAACACGCCGGTGTAATACTCCTTCAATGCTGTTGCCAATTTGTCAAAACAGAGTTCTGGCGTAGTTGTCGTACGGGACAAACGATCCGTCAGCGTTCTGCATACCGGTGGCCACGGACAGTTAGGCCACACACGTCGAGTGGTGGTTGATCCTGGTGACCAGCACCCAGTACGTCCACTCGCGCTTCAAGCCAGCCAAGTCAGGGCACTTGATCTGGTCGTCGTCGTTGGTGATGGACATCAGACAGTACTCGTTGTGACCGTCGAATTCCAGTGTCGAACTGCACTGGTTTGACGGACCGTTGGCCTTGACGCTAGAGGTCGAACGCAGCTGACTGACCGCCATACTCCGTCCAACCCGTTGGTGGGGCGGGTTTCTGGCCTCGTGTGCTCTGAAGCGGTCCTTGCGTCAAATGGAAGCTGCACCAAGTGTTTAGGGTGCGTCTGGTAACCGGAAATATTACAATATTCAGGCTCCAAACTCCATTTTGGGACCGAATTCGATTAATCTGATCAAAATTGAAACATGTCTTGCTGGAAGCAGTTTAACCCAAATCCAATAATTCCACGTGGGATTTACTCGTTGAAGAGTTACAAAATGGACCTTTAAGGTAGTGCATCAATCTTCCGAACGGCATGAATCTTCCGAACGATTCGAGTTTTATCCAATCAGATTACTCTAATTTGGCGTAAACATCACTGATTGGTAGTGATAATATTCATGGCAGTGATTATATACTTGGAGTTCAAACGAAAACCCAACCAATTATAATCACGCCAAACTAAATTAATACGAAGTAATGATTAGCAGCATATACTTGACTGTGGGTACGGCGTCGAGCTCGTGGCCGTTGCCTCGGTCGAAGGCGATTGCCATCGCTTCGACGTTTGTTGACCTTTCCAAACCAACGGTGAGCAGTAAGACCCCCAATTGGTTCAAAATTGATTTCGTACCTGTGGTGTGTAGCCGATGTCGTTGCCTCGTATGTTCTCTCGCATGTACATGTAAAAAGCGAATTGAATCAAGGACGCCGTTGGCACGGGATCCTGGATCAAGACAAGGGAAGGGGTATGCGAAGACATTCTGTTCTTACCTGCGAAGCCGGTTGTGCGCAAACGCGTCAAGACGAACGGCGAGTGGCATTCCATCGAGGACCTTCATGCGGCCCCAGCGAAATGGCAAAAGCGGAAGTGAATTTATTTACTCGTTGTTTTTAAATTTCATCCAAATTTAATCAATACAGCTGTGAATCCAGTGGAGAATGATAGTATTATATTGAATCGAATTTTAATTCGTATTATAATTCAATATATACAAATCTCCTCATGTTTGAAACCGTTCGGGGAATATGTGCACGTTAAAATTCATCATGCTTTTGTTTCGTCATATTAATTTGCCTACAAATATCAAATCATGCCAAATCGCAATTGCTTCCTATGTAAAATATAGCCCTTGAATTATATTCTCTTTCTATGCTAAAAGCTCAATATAATAAAATGGTAATCGCAAGCACTCAGACTTTAAAAATTCGACAAAATCTGCTTCAAAAACCGTTCGGATGATTGATGCGTTACCTTACCTCCACTTTGAAAATGGCATTTTGGGTTAATCCCATTTTCCGAGAAAATGGAAAAATATTTTCGAAATGTTACCAGACGCACCCTTACAGTGTATGGTAGGTCGACGCCATTTCACTGAGGTACTCGGCATTCGGATTGTTGTACAGATCAGCCACCACTCGGTTCACATGCACGGGGATAAGTCAAGTGAAATTGGAGATGGGGTGCAATACGCGTGAACGACGTTTTGCAAGAGAGCTTGTACCCCCCCCTGATGCTCGAACAACGTTGGATTGGTGCTACATCTCGAAGTTGGTGGAGAAGGTCCGACCAGATGGGGAGTTTGTCTCCTGTCATGGCAAGGAGGTGTCGCAGCATGGAAGTCACAGCTGTCACAATCGCCGCCTTAACTTTCTTGATCGCAGCGTCGAGATCCCGGAATTTGAGGAAGACTTGCCGGATGGGTGCGATCATGGCCTCAATCTCGCTGAGCGACGTCAGCAGATCCTTGCCTCGTTGGACTTCGGCGTGTCCAAGGCCGCTGACTTCGCCTTGAAGGTCTTGTAGGACGTGGTTCATGCAGTTCTGTAAAATAATAAAGTCGAATTTTGGTTGGTGTTGAAGAGATGAAAACTATGAAATCTTATGCTGCATTGGAAAATGAAGGAAGCTATATTGTGCTTTCGAGTGAAATTTCGTGTTGTGGTTTCTCGTTGGAATTTAAATCGATTTGATTAGCTACTTTAGATGAGCTCAAAATTATTAGCCAATCAATACCTTCTAAATGAAATTCAACCAATCAGATCGATTGTGGATCGGTTTGGTTGGCGCGATTCGATTGCACCCCCTCCCCAAATTTGTAGTTATCAAATCGACAATATTGGAGTAATGTTAGGCGCCTTCAATTTCGTCAAAGCGCTTTCGCCCAAACGTACGGTAACTGTAAATTTCTGACCGAAAACTCTCAAATACACTACTTTTGGTAATCCCCATTTCCTATGAAAATGTGAGTGAAACCTCATCAATACTACCGGTAACGTTACTTGGAAGTATAGATCAAATACTATTATGCGCATTGGCCTAAATCCAATTTCGAATATATCGACTTGACAATAACAATTGCTCCCAAATCAGGGGATGTTATTGGCACGGTAGAGTGTGAAAGGTGGTATAATTAGAGTGTTGTGGCCGTGAGTTACACGAGCACGACGACAAACAAGGCCAACAACTTCAACCACGATCCTGTGACCCCAGCATTCGTAGCAGGGGACGAGGCATTGGAGGTGCCGGCATCCCCGGATTGGGGGCTATTGGGAGACGCCGGGGCACCGGGGGACTTGGGGGCGTCCGCGGAGGCGGGGGGGCGGTACTGCTTGACCAGGGGCGGGATGCCCGCGGCTTCTTTCGGCTTGGGCACGCAATCCGGATCGGGGGACGTGCACACTTCGCACACTTGGGCGAGGAGCTTCCGGCGGCATCCATAGGCGGCATTGGCGCATCGGGGGCTGATTTCCCAGCACTTGGGGTTATCTGCAGTCAATTTCACGACCTCGGGGAACGGTTTGAATATGTTGGCGTCGCCCTTGGCTTCTTTCACAAGCGCGGCGTACATGTCGATCATTTTCGCCGAACGTTCTTGGTTGGCAGTGACGTTAAGCGGGTCGTTCCAAAACTGCACGATGCTGTTGTTTGGGTCGGCAAAATCGAATTCGATGCCACCACGTTTGCAAAAGTCAGTCCGGTCTTTGAACGTTTCGACCGAGCCTTCCTTGACTGGCATGCTCGTGATCCCCACGAGGTCGTCGATGCTGATGTACCCCAGCACTTCGAACGAATATGTGCAGAGCTCGCCGTCGGGGAGGACGCCGCGCGGACACATGCCGCCCTTTTGCTTGGCCGCGCAGGTTGGATCAGTTTGCTTTTCTTGAAATGGTTTCAAGTAGCACGAGCCAGGGTACGAGAACCAGTAGTTATCGGGGTAGTTGGCCCGGTCGTGCTTGGTGCGGGGCTCGCCGCCAACGTACGGCCCGAGGTTGGGCTGCCGGTTGTACCCTCCGAACTGCAGGCACTCGTCCGGCGGGTTGGGCTCGACTTTGGGCGTGCACTTGCCGTTGTCCATTGCAACAAAGCGGCCATAACCAGGCGCCAACCCTCCGTCCAAGTCGTACTCGGCGGTGGCAAAGTACGGGTTGGCATACGTGATGTCGTAGAACCAAATGTACGACATGTTGGTCTTGCGCATGCAGCCTTGATCCACGTCGCGCGAGATGCCCTCGGTCTGCACGTAGAACAGCGCGCCTTCGACGCTGGCAGTGTTGACCGTGTCCAAGGAAGCGCTCCACTTGTCTTCGAACTTTTGGCTCAGCTTGGGAAAGTTGGACACCCAAACGCTGTTGGCAGCGTTCCATTCAGGCTTGGAGCTTTGCACACGAGCTTGGATGGACCGTACTGGCTTGGGCAGCCAGGCCACGGGAGTGGGTATCGGTGTGTATGTAGGTGGAGGTGCGGCGGCACCCGCCAACGCCGACAAGACCAGACACACTGGATGGCTGAAGAAGCCCATCGTAGTGTGAAGATGGTGGAGAATTGAGAAATGGCCCAAAATCCTTGGACTGTAGCATTGAAGTCGTACGTATAGTTCCCTTAAATCGTCTGAACTGCAACTTCGCATTGTCAAAAAGCAAAATATAGTCAAAATTCCACTCTAATCAGTTGAGTTTTGCAATGTGGACAATAACATGTGACGATTCTGGGGAAATTGTGACGGCCATCAGGTTCGACTTTTTAGCGTGTGTCATGGGTTGTGAAGCTGGAATGGTAATGTGCACATGCAATCCGTTCACATGGCACCACATGGACTAGTAGAGAGCGTATATCTACAGCATCTATGTCGTACTTCACATAAGTTTACAGCAACCCAACCGCCGCTTGGTATATAAGGCACGGTTGAGCTTAGCTTATTTCGCAACTCGACGTTACCTAGGAGTGTGGAGAAGTTGCAGTGGATTGTTATTCGTCATTGCTGACGGGTTGACGTCCAATACAGTAACATCATAATCATGTCGTGTTGTGAATGTGCAACTCCATCGATCGATTCTTTGTGCTGACTTTTGTATGTATTCACACTCTCATTCGATGTTGACTGTGAATTGATCGAAGAGTGGATTTGATTGGCCATTTGATTAGTCTTCTGGATGTTGATTGATCGATCGATTGGGCACCCCACTCCAATTTCGAATCGACAATAATACTAACGTTACGTAGTACTTGTGAGTTCGTTCTTCAAGGCAAAGTGTGTACTACAGTAAAATATATTCAACAATTCCATCGAGTTGAGCCACTATCACACCGTGGGCTCTAACATTCCAGTTTTATCGCATACTTAGCAGGAGGCTGCGGGAACAGGCGATAGTTAGTAGCAACGAGAATTCCATGAACCTTGCCAACACAACATAATGTTCCATCACGCTTCAAGTATAGCTAGAAGCATCTATCACTGGGATCGGCGCGGTTTGTCGTCTGACGTCGCCGAAGCATCTTTGTTGCTGTCCGCCGAACGCCGCACCTCGTTGTCCAGCTCGTCGACGTCGAACATTTCGACAATTCGGCGGTTTCGTACTTTCTCGCACAAACACAGTTAATTTTTTGAATGACATTTCAAAGTTATATTATTACATTATAACTTAACAAAGTTAACCTAAGTTAACGTTAACTTTGTCATAATTTATGACAAACATTGTTAACCATCCGAGAAAGTACATGACTTCGACTAACGATTTCTTAGCAATGGTTGGGCGATAT